CTCTTCTCTGAAGTTCTCTCTTCTTTCAAGTTCTCTCTTCTCTGAAGTTCACTCTTCTCTGAAGTTCTCTCTTCTCTGAAGTTCTCTCTTCTCTGAAGTTCTCTCTTCTCTGAAGTTCTCTCTTCTCTGAAGTTCTCTCTTCTCTGAAGTTCTCTGGAACTCTCTTAAGTTCTCAGAACATTTGAAATAATGCGGCAGTTTTCCTGAAGCTATAATGCTTCCCTGAACTTCGCAAAAAATTTCAAACAGTTTCGAAACTTCCGTTATGTTCCCACGATTTATTTATGGAACTTCTGTGCAATTCTCGGAAATTCCTTTCATTCTTCAGAACGTTTAGAAAGCTCCTTCATTTTTTGTGAAGATAGTGGGACTATCCTGATGATCTCTTACCTTTCTTGAAATTCACGGAACTTCCCTGAAATTGTTGCAATTTGCGATGTTCCTGAAAATGAACTGTCCAAAAATCCTTAAACTTCCCTGAAATTCTCTGGACTTCCGTGAACATCTGGGATCTTCTGTGAAGTTCTCGAAATCATGTCACCAGTTCGCTGAATTTCTCTGAAGTTCCTTTGATCTATCCTTTTTGAAGATTTCCGCTAATTTCCTGAAATCACGCAACTACCGTAAAGTTTTCAGAACTACCATGAAGTTCACTGAAAATTTTTTCCTGACGTTAATGGAACTGCATTCAAGCTCGTTGGTCTTTACTGAAGGGAGTTTTCCTGAAATCATCGGGACTTTGCTGAAACTCAGATATTCTCTCATCATATCAGCATTACCAGGAGTTATTCTAAAGTCACTCATATAGTCTCACATTATGTTAGGTTAATCAGAAATGAATCTATTCAGTTACATATCGAAAATTTTAAAAAAAAAAAATGCTCGATTTTTACCAAACTTAAGACTTGAAAAACTATGCAAAACAATTTTAGCTGAAACCTCAAATCGATTCGACGTCTGTGTAAAAAGATATTAACCTTTTTATTTTTGGCGCAATAAAGTCGATAATTCTATATTTCTATGGTTTCTTCAAGGCTGGTATCGGTCATTGCTGTCAGAAATAGTGATTTTAGTGACCTAGTTGAATAAATAAGTGACCAAATAGTGACTTATATATGTAAAATAGTGACTAAAAAGTGACCTAAGAGAAGGCGCATCAAATAACTGTTTGATGTTTTAGACTTATGCAATTAATATCTCATAAACACTTATGTACGATACGAACCTTTAAAGCGAAAGATTCAATAGAAAATGTTTAACCAAACCCACGGTATTTGTCACGGTGTCTACAAATTTCAAAAATCTGGAATACCGAGAATCCTCAGGATTTTTTTTGTTTCCTTAAAATACCTAGAAAGCTCAAAGAGTAAAAAAAATCTTACTTAGGATATTTTAAAGAAAATAATGAATTTTAAAATACAACAATTTAATTTTTTTCGTTGTTTTCATTCACAGTTTGAACTTTACAGATTCACAGTGGATTATTCTTCAGTTACGAATAAATTTAATAAAATAAATAAATAAATAAAAGTTGGTTTTGGAACATGCATATTTCATAAAAAAAAATTGAACTAGTTCTGGACTTCAAAGCTATAATACTTCATTCGAGAATCTTGAGTCAAATTCCATGCACAGTTTTAAAAACTCTGGGAATTTTATTATAATTTCTAAGGACCTCATTCCAACGAAGCTGTGGGAAATAAAAACATTCAGAAAAACATCAAATGCAATCTGCTTTCGAGGCAGTTCTGATGAATTTTAGATTTCATGTAAAGCCTTAGTTTTAAGTAGAATTACAAGAAATACTCAATTGAGTTAAAATTAAATTTTAATGAAAAATCTTAGAAATTTCTGAGGAGCACAACTCTTGTGAACTTCACCGGAAAATTCCAAGGGCATTCTGAGAATAATTTCATAAGGTTTGGGGGAAAAATGAATCCGGAGCACAAGTCATTGGACATTTTCTGAAAATACTAAAAGGTAGATTACAAGAAAATCTTGAAAGAAATTCGGAAAATAAATTTAGGAGAGTTTGCCAAACAAATCATGAGAAGAAATCTAAGGAATTTCTGAGGAGAAATGTCAATGAATTGTTAAGAGACTTGTAATGTGAGTAGAATTCCATGGGAAGGACTGTGATTGAAAAGGAAATCTGAAATGAATTCAATGAATGCTCGGAGAATCTTTTCAAATGATTTCTAATTGTGGAGAATTTCAAGGTAATTCCGAAGAAAACTAAAAGAAAATTTAATTCATCAAGATTTTGAAGAAATCTCCGTTGAATATGGAACGGACTATTTTAAGGTCTTCAGAACCATTTGAAAGTTCTCAAATTTTTCCTGAACATAATCAAACTGACTTGAAGTTCTTTTGTAGTTTGATAAACTAGCCTGATGCTCACAATACTTCTCCTAAAATTCGGAACTTAATAGGACTTTCTAAAGCTTCCTCAATTTGTCCAACGATCATTGATGGTTTAACAATGGTTTAACAATTCACTGAAGTTCTCTTAACCTTTTTAAAATTCATGTGACTTCTCTTATGTTGACGGAACTGCTCTGAGGTTCTCTGTTCTTTTCTGAAATTCCCAAAACTTCTCTCAAGTTTTTGCAGTTCTCATGAAGCTTGCTGAAATGAATATTCCCTGAACTTATCTATGCTTACGTGAAGTTCTCTAAAATTTTTTAATAACCAGCAAATTTTCTGATATATATTCATAATTACCTAACGCTTCTGACGTTTTAGGATAAATCATAGAATTCTTGGAATACCCTATAATTCCACGGAACTCCTTGTACGTCACTGCAAATTTGCTTATGTTAATGGGATTTTTCTGAAGCTATCTGATCGTCCTCGAAGTACTCGGAGCTTCGCTGAATATCATGAAACTATATAAAAATATCTAAATTTAGTTCTCTGGAATTTCTTGAAGATATCACCGCTTGCTAAAAGTTCTCGCTTTTTTATCAATGGAACTTCGTTGATATTCTCTTATCAAATTAGCTAAGTTTTTGCATTTATTTTTTTATTTTTTAAGAAATCTCCATGATATATCATCCATTAAATACTCGCACGTTTTCCGGATGTTCATAAACTTTCCAGGAATTCTCTCGGAGCTTTGCTGAAGTTTTCGGAAGTTCACTGAGTTTCTCGAAACTTCTTTAAGGTTTCTAATATTTCCTTGAAATTATTTGAACTACCCCTTGATTCTCTGACCTGTCTTGATGTTCTCGAAGTTTCCATAAAGCTCTTAGTTCTATTGAAGATCTCGGTTCTGCTCGGAAATAAATAAATTTCCCGTAAACACCTTTAAATTTCTCTGAAATTCTCTGGACTTCTGTGAAGTTTCTGAAATATTTCTGAAGTTTTCATAGATTCTCTGAAGGTCTCTTTACTTCCCTGAAATTCGCGGAACATCTTAAGGGTTCTCGATTTGTTTTTCAGCACAGCCTGGAATTATCTTGAAATTTACGATTATAGATTTTAAACTGCTCCAAAAGTCTAAAATAAAGTTACGGGAACTGCTCTTAAGATCTGAAATTCCCCAAAAATCTCTAGATCTAGCTTCTCTGAGGTGCTTTGAACTTCTTAAAAATTTGCACAATACCCCTCAAGATTTCTAAATTTATCAAGTTCGCTTGACACCTGTGAAGTTCTCTGAAATTCTAGGAACTTCATAAAAGTTCCTGAAAAGTCTCGGATGCTAAAAGAACCGCTTTGAGGTTCTTACAGTTTTCAGTAAGTTTCCCATATTTTCAGCGTGTTAACTTCTCTTATGTTCCTGCAGTATGTTTATAGAGCTTCACTGAAATTCTCAGCATTTCCTTTCATTCCTCAGAACTTCTCCAAAGTTTCTACAATTGTTGTTAATTTAATGGGACTGTATTGAAGATCTCCAATCTTTCATAAAGTTAATTATGAACTTGAAATTAATCATTTATTTTTTTACTTAATTCTGGCACTGAAAATATTTTCAATACCTTGAACTTGTACATGGTATAAGAAACTTCAAGATATTCAATATTTTTAGATCTTGGACTTACTTACTTCGAAAACTCAGGTAATTTTATTCAGAAAAATGAGTTGACATCCTGTATATAGAGAAAGACGATTAAACGTCACAACGCAAAGAATAATCAATCTTGTAATAAATTCACGCTAAAAAAGTTGAAAATAGTGACTTATTACAAGAAAAAGCGACTGATTTGAAAAAAGTGACCAAGTCACTAAAAAGTGACTCGCTACCAGCCCTGTTCCTTCAATATCGAGACATGGAGAGTTGACTGTAATTTGAATATTGAAACATTCCTAAGAATACTGATATAATGAGATATAATCTGTTGAACAGTTTGGATCAGTTATTAATCATCAGTTATTCTCTCAACGCATAATATTTATTAGAAATTATTCTGAAGCTGATCAATAGATGAAATGAAGTCGTTCAGATATTCTCTCATTATATCAAGCTTATCCAAATTCATTTGTACTCTTATAAGCCTATCGTAGGCGCTTGTCCGTCACTCCGATCCTCTGTCTAAAAAAACTCGGGCAGAACAGTAAATCTGAGTAGCGACGCTGATTTGAAATATGCATTAAATTTCCTTTAAGAATTCGACATTAGTTCTGTTCCTCTGACTTTTTCAAGAGTGTATTTATAAGTCTCGATGATACCCCAGAAGAATCCACCATATGAGGTCCACATGCTGAAGAACTCAGATTTCCTTTTGAAGATGTTACCATACCATAAGGAAGACCTTTGAAAGTCAGAGGTCTATCTTATGATATTGAAAAATCTTTCAAAAGTCCTAGTAAGGCATCCGGATTGACTAGAGAAGTGCTCAAATCTCAAATGCCATCATAGTAGACTACCGAACTAAGCATTCAAGCTTTCTAGAATCTTCTAATGATGCTTCCACTACTCTCTTGAATCTTTTGTAGTCCTTCGTAGACGTTGCCGTAGCCCAAAGTTCTCTCCTTAATTCTTGCATTTTTTTTTTTAGGAAAGATGTCCTCATATCTCTAAGCATCCAAATCGGCACACTCGATAGAGTTAACATATTGTCGACACATTGCCATCCAGACTACAGACCTGATCAACTGTATCACAATCTGGCTGTGCTGAAGTTGAACTCATCGGTGGCCCTGTCCAGCAGTTTAGTACCAACGTGCTTGGCCAGTAACTGGACGGATTACCTCGACGCTGGATCTGATCTGCACACAGGTATGATGCCACCTTTATTTTCAGGCCACTCCAAATCCTAACAATCTTCGACGTACCTATAGGTATCGAGTCCGGTCAAAGGCATGTGATTAGCAACGACATCTGTAATCAAACTGTAACCGAACGGAGGATGATACCGAAAGGTTTTCCACTGTCACTGATGTGCGTGAACAATACGGATCATCAACTTACAACCGATAGCTGGGAAAACCTAGGCGCACCAGCGCTGCAATCCTTTGATCGGAAAAGGTGTCTCTACACGTTGGTAGGAGTCCCATGTGAATCGGTCCGGGGTCAACAGGACTCGGAAGCGTTCCGGTTAGATGTCTACACTCGCGTTGCGTATTACTTGGGCTGGATTGAAGGCGTAGCTTCGAAACGCAAAGTTCAGACGTTCAATGAACCGACGACGGAGAAGCCACGTAGCACGGAGAGCTGGCGATTTACGGAAATAGGCAGGAACGTGCATGCCCCTCGTGACTTCTATCCCCTTTCGCTTCCCTCTTTTCCTACAGCCAACTCAAAGCCTGGAAATGATGAATTTTCTATACCCGCAGAAATTTCCCTGTTCTTTAAGGTAGTATTTATTTTTGTTATTGTAAGTTTTATTGCTAGTATTTGTGTGACAATATTCTGTCTTACACAGTTGAGGACGATTGTGACGTCAGTATTCAAAAAATAAATGTAGTTACGTGCGATGTACTGACCTCATTCAGTCAGTTCAATTTCAAGTGGCATCGGTAATCCACATGATCCATCCATGCGATAACATTTGAGCAAACAAACCACACAAGCTGTCAGAAGCTTTCATGCGGAGCAAAACTTTCGACAAAACAAACTGTCATCCAAACTTCTACACCGCTGCTGTTGCAAACCGTGGAAACACATAAAAATGCATATACCTTCGTCGACAGTTGGGCGCCCGTCGCAGCCCGACAATCCGTGTTCTTCAATCCGACCCCGAACGACAGCAATGGTTCCATGAATCTTCATTTGCATCCTCCGTAGCCACCGACTGACTGCTCGGTACCTACAATATAAAGCAAATTCCATGCTACAACTGCATAAAAGTATTCTTTACGATCCGCCACCATGCAATTGCAAGCTAAAGTTTCAGTCGGTTCCAGTTAGTTTGGTACTACTTTACCGACACCGCCCAACAAGTTTCTATTCTCCACCGTCAAACTTCAATATACTGTGGGGGAATGGTGTTGATAAATTTTATTTGTAACAACTTGTGCCCCGCTGATTTGTTTCTTGCAGATTAAATAGAAACATTTTTACGATAACTTGACGACGTTCGTTCAGCAGAGGGAAGGGAAGTGGACTGCAACTTTGTTGATGCGATTTATGGCTTATTATGGTTGGCTGACGACGACGGTAGCGAATGTGTGTTCGTTCGAGGAAGTAGTAAAATTATGAACTCTGTCTGCGAAGAGTGTATCAACCCTCGCGTGGAGAGCCGGAAGGAAGTGGTCCGGAGTGGTTTTCGTTCGGTGAGTATCATGAATCATCGCTGCCGGCAGCAGGGATGTTAATGCTGATTTCCAAGTGGTTCCTATACCCCCCTCATCGAACGGAGGAAGGTGGTCGACGTACGCAATGCGGCAGAAGGGCGTGATTCACGCAATGGGGCTGAGGTACAGGGCGTAAAATGGTGCAGTCTGAGTCGTGCTGGTCATCGGGAAATATTTTTTTATGAAATTTATAATCATGAGATCGTAAACTACTTTCAATTGTTACATTAGGCAATGTTAACCTCTGTGCTCCATGCTATAGAGCAGTTGCACGCCAACTGACGAATCGATTTTATTTTTGCCTCTCCGAATTCCATGAAACTTCACTAGCGACATTGAACCAAGTTTGACCGGAATTCGGTCATTTTGACTCACTCCTAATTTTTTTAAATTGCGTATTTGATATTGTTCAATAACTCATAGCACGTAAACGGCTCATATGGTTTAATTTGAACATGTTTACCAGGGGTGCAAGCCATTTGAAATTTATTTTTTTTTTAAATTTCTTCCTGAACGTGTAACGGGTGTTCAATAAAAAATGAGAATGATTTCAGTGCCGTCCAGCGCTCTTGTGAGAGCATCGTGACTAAGTTGCGTCGTACGGCTGACCAGGGCCCCTTCTCCAATATTCATTGACGTTTTTTTGAAGAAAAAACATTATGTTTTTTAAAAAATACTGAATCCGTTGGAAAAAAAAATTACTAACTGAAAAAATTCTCATTTTTTATTGAACACCCGTTATATTGCACGAATATCCAAAGTGCTTTTGAATATTGTTTAATGATTTTTTTGTAACAATGATTTAATTTTTCAAACCGCCCCTTGACTGGTTTTCTCTAATGTATTATCGAAAAAATGGAATTTTTAAAATAATATTAATTATTATTTAAAGTCAGTTGACGATCATTTCTCATTGCGAGAAGACGCTTTTGTACAATCGCCGCACTGAAAGTCATATAATTAGCTACCGTTCGTGTGTGTTTCCTTGTCAGCCCTAACCGGCTACCTTTGTAAGGAAAAGGAAAACAAAAAGATGTCCAGTGGAATCGTCAAGAACACACTGAATTTCCAGTTCCCGGATGGAGCCCCTGGACCCACCGTTGTAGAAATTGGTCGATTTGTCAAAGGGTTTGATGCGGACAAAGCAGACATGGAAACAGGCTACAAACTTTCCGATGAAAGGGTTGTTTGCATCAAATTCAGATCTGAAAGAGCAATGAAGGAGGCTCTCCTGCACAACCCGGAGGTTCATACGTTCCACTACTCCAATGGTCAATCCGTGGAAGTTCGTATGACGGTCGCTGGAGGGTGTATCCGCTACGTGAGGATCTTCGATCTCACCCCGGAGATATCGGATATTGACGTATCGTTGGTACTCGGAAAGTATGGAACCGTGAAACGCATGATCCGCGAGAAGTTCCCGGTGGAATTGGAGCTAGATCTCTTTACCGGTGTCCGTGGGGTGTATATGGACATCAAAAAGGACATCCCATCAACCATCCATTTCCCCAACCGCCGAGGGAGAATCTACTACGAGGGACTGAGACAGAAGTGTTTTTTGTGTAAGCAGGAAGGGCATATGAAAGTGAAATGTCCACAGAACAACGCACAGCAAGAATCAAGAAAGGATATGGAAGCAAAGCAGGAAGCGGAAAAAAATGAAGAAGACGGCAGCTAAAGCGAGCCAAAAGGAAGAGGTGGACGTACCTTGCAATGACACCTATACTGGAGCCGTTCAGGGAGCGGCATCATCGTCTAAAAACAGTAGCATTTTGGAGCTGTCAATGGTCAGGTTAGTTTCGTTGACAAACGGGACCTCAGCCGGGGTGTCCAGCCCGAAGCAGATTCATGATTCAGAGGTTTCCATCGTTGAGGTGTTGGAGGAACAAGAAGCAAGTGTTGTGGACAAGCCCGCTGAAGCTGAAAAAGTACCGGAACAGGAATCGAGCGATGAGGAGATGACCGACGGACAAGAGCGGTCGAACAAGCGACCCCTTGTTTCAAGCAGCAAATCGGAATCGGAGGAAAACGGCCAGGATTTCGTCACGGTTGATAGCAAGAGCAGGAAATCTCGTAAGCAGAAGCGCGGCGGTGGTTTGCCAACGGAGCAGAACCCGCTGGAAGTGATAGCTGCAGGGTCCAGTAGCGAAGCTAGATCTAAAAGTTCCAGATCACTTCGAAGTATGACGAATCGATCACGCTCTCGAAGTGGTGTGAAGGTAAGCAAGGCTGATCTTCGGAAGTGTTAGTGACAATCGAGATCAGCTGACTTTGACATATGACGACATTGGCAAGCAACGTCAAACGGACCTTCTTTATCGATAATACGTAACACCCGTTACTGAATACTCGATACTTTGTAAACAAAGAGATGAATTACGTAAGGAAAATCTGTACTGTGAATATTAATGCTATAGCGATAGACTCTAAAAAAAAATTGCTCAAGGAATTCATCATACGCCACGATTTGGATGCTGTTTTCCTGCAAGAAGTGTCGTTCAATGATTTTAGCTTTCTGCCTTCACATCACGCAATTGTCAACCGTAGTGAGCAGAACGTTGGTACAGCAATACTTATAAGGAAAACTATTCCTTCCGAGCAGATCATGATGGACCCATCTGGACGCATCATCTCCGTTGTTGTCGACGGAGTGAACTTAGTGAATATTTATGGTCACTCTGGGACGCAATACAATGTCGAAAGGGATAATCTTTTTCAAAATCTGATATCCCCGCACTTAAGCAAAGGAAATTTGATGATCTTGGGAGGAGACTTTAACTGCATCCTGGATACGTAAGACAGCAAAAGTAAAAACATGAGCTGCTGCAAAGGGCTGCGCACTCTAGTAAACCTGTTTAAGCTAGAGGATTTGGGATCCGCAGGCCGCCAATACACCTTCTTGAGGCATAATTCTGGCTCCCGATTAGACAGATTTTACTGTGACAAATATTTTGTTCATCGAGCTAAAAAGTACGAGACTCTTCCAGTGCCCTTCTCTGATCATCACGCGGTAGTGCTTACGTTTGAAATCAACCCACAGGATGCCACTCCCATCCTTGGAAGGAGCCATTGGAAGATAAACGATTTTCTACTCAAGGATGAAGGCACATCTGAAGGTTTCATTCGAGTCTTGGCAGAGCTAAGGCAACGTCGCAAACACGAGATGAACTTTTCGGAGTGGTGGTCGTACGATTTCAAAAGCAAGGTAAAACATTACTACAAGAACAAGTCTTATGAGTTAAATCAAACTAACGCAAGGAAGAAGGCAAAACACTACAATAAGCTAAACAAATTGATGGAACAGTAAGCAAAAGGTTTAAACGTGCTGGATAGGATGAACGCGGTCAAGTCTGCTATCGTCGATGTCGAAGAGCAACGTCTTTCCAGTTTCCGCGGAAAGGTGCAACCGTCAATAATGCTTGAAAGCGAAAAATTGAGCATATATCAAGTTTCGAAATTAGTAAAACGCGGTCACAACACACCAGTGATGAGTCTGCACTCACCAGATGGTCTAACTACAAGGCAATTCGTACATAATCACTTTGAGGAACAGTTCCGGAAGCTGCAAAACCAGCAAGCAGATTATGCTGCGCTTCAGCACGTTCGCAAATCGTTACCTCGAGATCTTGGAATCAACCTTGTGTCCGACTTCCGAATTTTACGAGAAACACTTTCATTCTCTCAAACAAGATCTGTTGCGTCTCTTCAATGGATTTTTGGATGGCTCCATTCCTATGCAAGAAAACTTTGCGAAGGGAATAATCATTTTAATTCCGAAGTCGAAGGATCGAAATGACTTGCAGAACTATGGACCGATCAGTTTGCTGAATACAGACTACAAGATTCTCACCAAAATTTGTGCAAGCAGACTCAAGGCTTGCATGAATTCACTAGTAGGTGAAGGTCAAACTGCAGGGCTGGAGGGGAAGTCTTGTGTGCAAAACCTGGATAAGATAAGAACGGTCATAGCAAGGACGCAGCAGAGTAAACGGGTAAAGATCGCGCTACTCAGTGTGGATCTTCAGAAAGCTTTCGATTCGGTGGACCATGGTCGGCTTTGGGAAACACTGGAGAAACTCAAAATTCCAACGCAGTTTATAACATTCATCCGGAGACTGTATGCCGATGCGTCATCACAAGTTATGGTGAATGGGTTTCTCACTGCTTCCATAAAAATCGATCATTCCGTGCGGCAGGGTTGCCCACTCTCGATGCTT